TGTGTTGGTTTGAGCTTGCTCAACTTTTGCTACTTACATTACTTTGCTGATGTTGAATTTTAATAACAAAGTGTGTTGTTTCTATTTTAACAAAACACTACTGTTGACTTATGTTGTTAAAATATAATTGTTTACTTAAGTATGGTTGTTGTTTTTCTACGTGTAGTATTTGAATGCTTTAGTTGTTATCCCATTCATACTGAGGTTTGTTAACCTCTATTCAGGTTTCCAGCTGTTTCTTAGTTCTTTTGTTTTGCTAATTAAAACCCTTAAGGTTTGTTGTTGGAGCTTAGGTGTAAACTGTGATTTAGAGCAGTTGGTATTTATCTTGACCTTTCTATACTACTTCTATGTTGTTGGTGCCTTGTATGTTAGAATTTCATGTGCTGGTTGTCTATAGGGATTTAGAGGTTTGTCATTTTAGAAATCTTACTAGAATTTCCATTGGCCCTTCAAAGTCCATATAAGTTAGACTCTTGGCATTTTATGGTTTGGACTAGGTGCATTGGCTGTTGTTTTATAATTGGGATTTGGATGTTGCCCTTATGCATTGGTTTAACACAAAATTGGTAGCTGCCTCATCATGTAGGTTTTGTGTGCTGTTATGAAATGTTAATATGAGATGTTGCAATACATGGTTCATTTAGGATTTAATATTATCATGCTAGTTGCTGCCAGGATTTAGAGTTTAAATTATGTTGGTTGCTAGTTCACAATAGTTGTTGTCACAAGGGCAAGGCCTTGGATGGTTGTTGGTTGATGTGTGTTGCAACATCAGATTCTGCTGTTTGGTTTCTGTTTTGAATTAGTTAAGCTTTGATACCTCCCAGTTCCATCCAAAGGCTATTACATTTTTATGTGTTTTGAAGTTCTTAACCTATTGCAGTTTGGATTGACAATTGAGTTGCTATCGTAACACATTTGCTTTAACATTGTGTATGCATAAAATCTAGTGTAAACCATTTCATTAACCATTGCAATTTGATAATCACTTCATGATTCAGTGAAGATTTGAGCTCAGATCTTTGAACATAGCCATAAGTGAGACATTTGGAACATGTGGATGTCTGTTTTTAAACTTAATCTCATCTGTTTTGGATCCATGAAACTCAAGTGCATTTGAAAACTTCACAATTACATTTTAAATCGAATTTTATTGTGTGGGCATATTTTGAAAATTTGGGTGGTACCATCATGATCTTCATGAAAAAACAAGCAAGTTAGACTTTTGTTTTATTAAAATTGATCAAGATTTGAAGAAGTTCTAATGAATTCGTTTTTGGAGTCTTGCCTTGTTTTGTCCTTGCATTTGGCCCAAAAATCACACGCGTTTTTGGTATATATCCAAACGGGGTGACCTAATACAATGGATGTATCGCCACCCCAGTGGTTACTTGCCTTGCCCTAAGTACTTTGTAATACCTGAGTTGGTCTGATTTTGGGCCCATGACCCCAAGGTCTTGGGTTCAAGCCTTAGGTGAGGCACTTCTTTATTTTTAAGCATTTGGTTTATTTACTTTTATTTAATTTCATTTAAATTTCAATTTTACACAACTTCTTCATTTTTAATCATTTTTAAGTGGTTCACCTTTAAAACCGTTGATTATCCCCATGAGGTTTTTGAACCTTTCGTTTACATTGTTGTGACATTGTTGGTTTATGTATGATATCCTTTACCTTTAACCTTTATCCTAACCTTAGGATTTGAGTCGCCGTGTTCACTTTTAGCGTCCCGCCGTGGACATCTTTTCCCTTTTATCCTAACCTTAGGATTTGAGTCGCCGTGCTCACTTTTAGCGTCCCTCCGTGGACATCCTTAACCCTTTATCCTAAACCTTAGGATCTGAGTTTCCGTACTCATGTTTAGCATCCCGCCGTGGACATTCTTTATCACAACAATCTCAACGTAGATTTAGGAGTCGCCGCACTCCATGTAAGTACTTCCTTGTGAATGCTTACATCCCCTTGGAACCTTGACCACAGTCAAGAGTTCCTCATCCCCACCGGGGGAACTACGAACACTCTGATTTCTCGATGAGAATACGTAGGCGCAAGATGCGACGTCTTGGCGAGCCAACTAACAACTAACTTCCTGTTTACCTTTGCCATAAGTTTGGAGTCGTCGTGCTCTGTTTAGTCTTCCTGCCGTGGATATTCCCTTTCCAACTACCCACTAACGCACTAACTTCCTGTTAACATTTACAACTTTGATTTGGAGTCGCCGTGCTCTATTTAGTCGTCCCTCCGTGGACATTTCCCATGTTTACCTTTGCAACTTAGGCTTGGAGTTGCCGTGCTCTATTTAGTCGTCCCGCCGTGGATATTTCTTTTACTGTTTAACATAACTTTTAGTTTAGAGTCGTCGCACTCTATGTAGGTGTCTCGCCGCAGACATTTACTTGCCCCCTGGAACCTTGATCACAGTCAAGAGTTCCTCACCCCTAGTTAGGGGAACTACGGTTGCTCTGATTCCATTTCCTGTCAGGATACGTAGGCACGAAATGCGATTTTTTGGCGAGCAAACTTTGAGCATACTTTGTATATACTTTAGATCTTTACCTTAACACATTTCTCTTTAGCAAGTAAACTTTAGCAAACACAAATATTAACAAGAGGTTCCTGTAGAGTACTACAGATGTTTAGGATGTAAAATACCTACCCTAGGCATAACCAACCCCCGAACCTTTAGATCTCTCTTTGCTTAGCTTTAGGCCTTGCCTTTTGCTTTGCATTTTTATATGTTTTTCTTTCTTTAAACCTTTCCTTTTGGATAAATTAAAGTCCGGTTGTGAATTTAAGAATTAAAGATTCAAGTTAATCAATAGCTTAGTATCACGATTCTCACCGCAACACACCCTACCAAGGTGATTTGCCTTTCTCAACAAGGACTTAATCCACTATATCAAACTGATTACAGTGTCAACCACTAAGACAAATTGTCTTAGTCTTCTCAAGAAATTCTGACCACAAACTGTCTTTCCATTTCGGCGGTTTAAGTGTTATATATATATATATATATATATATATATATGAAAAACAACGTTGTTTTAATTTAATAAAATAACACTTAAACCGCCGATTTTTTAAAACTGCTGATTTTTTTTATTTTTTTACCTAGATTTACACTGACAGTGTAAATTTTTTTACACGGTCAGTTAATCACAATCGCTAATTTATATAAAATGTTTGACTTTTATTTTAACCATTTGAAGAGTAATACCAACGGATGCTTGTGTTGCATTGACAATGTAAATTTTTTTACACTGACCGTGCATAACAATTAATCTCTCTCTCACTATATATATATATAGAGAGAGAGAGATGATCAAATGACACCAAGTTGTCAAATTTAATAACATGACACCTCCGATAACTCTTCACCCTATGTATGTATAACAAAATTCACTGTTAGATTGAAAGCTATTATCATATAAATCACGCATATAAAGTTTCACATCAATCAAAAATCATTTGATATGTTAAAGAGAATGATAAAAATTAACCATTTTCATGAAATTTTGTAAGACATTCCTTTTTATGTATCTTGTTAGCATGCCTAATAATTTACAATTGATATTAAATTTTGTAGATATGATCTATATGATAATAATTTTCAATCGAACGGTGGATTTAGTTATACGAATATGCAGTAAAGAGTTATTAGAGGTGTCATGCTATTAAGTTTTTCACACTTTGGTGTCATTCGATCATGATATGAGAATGTCATTTTTATGTGAGAATATGAAAATGAATCTGAACTATTAGATTTTAAAATAAATGGTGGAGATTATGTGTCAGTTTTTTTTTCTCTTTTCTCCATCATTTATTTTAATAATGGAAAAGAGAGAAAAACAAAAATTACAAATTAAATTCATTATTTATTTTAAAATCTAATCGTTCGGATTTATTCTCATATTTTCACATAAAAATGACATTCTCAAATAATATATATATATATATATATATATATATATATATATATATATATATATATATATATATATATATATATATATATATATATATATATATATATATATATATAAAGTAAATATTCTTAAGTAAATATTCTTTCTTTTAAAAATTGGTGACAGCGGTGTTAAATATAGTAAATATAGACTATTGCAGTAATATAGCATTGATAGATTGCGGAATTTGAACATACTTTATTTTTTCTTCTATGTGGTTGATATCATTGGTTTGTATTAATTGGACTAAGGTGTTTGCATAAAGTAAATGGTAATGCATGTTTGATAGATAATAAAGATAAGTTTATATTTGAGATTAATATTTTAATTAAATTTTTAAATCAATTATTTGACTCAAATTTATAATTGACTCAAATTTAAATTTAAATTATGCACTTATGAAATTATAATACTTTTAAATTTTTTAGATGTTAATGACTTTTTTTTTACATCAAATCATTTGATTCAACTGGTTTAATACTTATATAATTTTGTTATAGGAATAAGTTTATTCAATCGATCCAATATTTAAATCATTGTTGCAATCCAATAAAAATAAATTAAATTAAACAATGTGAGATGCCACCTGACTAGCTAACATCATACATTTGAAATTGCGACTTCAGTCACCATCCTCTTCAATTCAATTGCCTCAGATCAGAGACTCTAGGAAGATCCAAATTTTCTGATCTAGGAAGATCCAAATTCCGTCTTCATTAGAGCCGGTTTTGTAAAGAGTTAAATCTGTTTTTATTTTTATTTAAACAACTTGATCATTATATAAATTTAATTTCTCTTCGGTTCTTTCAGTTAGTAAACAAAAGGTATTTTCATCTAACTTACCATACAATTGCAAGAAGGGTAAAAATAATATGTTTCACTTACTTAATTCTAGAGAAAATAAATTTCAAACGCAACAGTTTCTGAAGCATTCTTGAACGTAAATGGATTGCGCAGCCTTTTCATCATTACAATCCTTAGTTTCCTTTTCATGTCAGCCAAGAGTGAAAATGAAAAATTGACACCAAAAGTTCAGGGTAGAACAGGCAGTTCAACCTTGTCAAAGGAAAAGAAACTGACCCTTCCTTCAGTGACCAGGCAAATTTTCAATGGAATGCCGCCACATTGTCTCTCAAGAACTTCAATTTCTGTTCTAGGTGGAAGATGGCCCCTAACAGAATATATATGTTATAATTACTTATAAAAATCACTTGCACAAATCTAAAGTAATCATGATGTCATGATCAGAGATGTAACAATTACCTCGACAAGTACAGCAAAAAATTTGGATTACCGGGAGAAGACTTTCTAAACCTGTTGTTTGGAAGATAAACATCAAAATCCGGCTTCAAATCATTAATCTTCAAGTCACCAAATAACTTATCAATGGAAATCTCGATTTTGGAAACCATGTCTACTAATTGTTTGCATTCTTCTGTTCCTTCAAGATCTACACATTTAACGGAATTCCCGATACACTTCAAACTCCAAGCAACATTGTGCCGCGCAATTATGTACCCAAGAGATTTGAGGTGCCTGTAAGCTTCAAAAAGCTCCCAACAACATCCAGTCTTCCCACCAGCAACCTTTTCATACATTTCTACTAGAGGTATACTCCTATCACTATTATCAAATAAATCTAAGGCTTCTAGTTCCATAAGGTACCTGTTCCAATTAAAATTTCCATAAGCACAAATTTTCAAAACACTTTATCCTTGCAAAAATGTATCATCACGTATTCCTTTATCGAGATACTTTCTCATCTAACACAAGATGAAATCTAACTGAAAATAGATGGAATATGATATAACCTACAATGTTTCCTCAATTGAAGTGTAAATCTTGCCGTTACGAACTATTCCAGTTGTTACCCACATTTTGCCATTCTTCTCAAACACTTCTGCCATTCCAATTTCTTCATTCCATTTGCCTTTTGATTTTGTGTTCCTAGAAGATGAAATGCTAAAATTCATTATTATAAAAACAAAATCATAATAAACAAGAAATCATTTAAACTTAACATTAAAGCTTCTAATATTTCTGATTTAGATACAACAATTGTGAAATTAGAATGATATTAACAATATTGAAGGAGAGTAATTATGAATATTTGACCTAAATTGCAAGTTGGGCAATGAAGCAGGTGAAAAGTGAAACCCTTTTTCTTCATCACTTGCATTTTGCGAATAGACATCATCATCACTATCTTGAATTGAAGAACATTCCCACACTTTCTTCCATGGTTCAAAATCAAAAGCTGTAATTTAAATATCTTTTTGTGATACAGATGCTGAGATACCTATTCCTCTTCCTCTTGCTTGAATGCAAACCCTTCCGAATTACAAAACAACAAAATCAGAAAACAAATAACGGTGTGTTGCTAAGAGATGTGAGTTTAAAAGATTCCTATATTAAAAAAGGTAAAAGACACAATATCATTACAAGTTTCAAATATATAAATACTTTTGATTATAATGATAAGATTTCTCCAAATATATAAAAAAGCTAACACCCCACAATACCCGTACAAGTAATATAAGAAATATACGAAATTAATTCATAAAATATATCAGAGTTGTCCAAATTAGTGGGATATCACACTAAATCACTTCATTTAATTTTAACAAAACCAACATCATCTAGTTTCAATTAAACAACAGAATAAAAACCGATTCTTCAAATATAATTCCCCTCAATAAGAGGCCATACATCCTTAATCCAACAAATGAAAATACCTAACAATAAATAAATAAAATAATCAATTAACAACGAAATCATGTCATCTCATGTTACGTATCAGAGCGACTCCTAAGACTCGATCAAATAGCAACACACTCCAAACACTACTCAGTACTTGGTCATCTGTACTCCCAATAGAGCACAGACACAACAACAGAGAAGGGGTGAGAACTACATTTAACAAATAAACGGTGAAATACACATGTTAAGGAGTAGTTAGACACCAACATAAAACCATACACATAAAACACACTTACACTTGCCACATCAATCACTCGACATTAATAGTCCATTTACAATTACGATAATGCAATGTGACACATTGACTCGAAACAATGCATGTGGTATGATCTGCGGTCGCTCACGGATTAAAACCGAGCCAATTGAAAAACGTAGTAAAAGCGACGGTAACTCGGATGTCGATTCACAAGGATTTTTATTTATAAAATAGTCAATTAAAGAAAAGGTTTGAGGGGTTGTTTTGATTAGGATTCAATAAAAAAAATAAACGGTAAAAATAATTGATTTTGAAAGAAGTGATTAAAAACGGGTAAATCCACTAGTTCGACTCCCAACTTATCATCGGTTACTACAATTCAATATTTTCACACGGTTTTAATTCCTATTCGATTGCAATATTGACGAACAAGCGTCGACAACACCGCACGACTTTTATTCCTAATTATCGAATTAAGTATACGGTTAAAGATTGCGCAATTAACGAAAAAGCTAAGTTAATCTGCGATTGAGTTAAGAAATATTGATCGATCGAATTAAATCCAATTTATCTTATAAAAATAAGTTAAGCAAACGAAGTTATAAAACAACTTGGAACGAGATTAAATAAAATTAAATCGAAATTGAAATTGAAATAAATCTCAAAGAAATTACGGGATTCGAAACCGGCGGATTTTCCCTTAGGATTAGTTCGCCATAAAAACAATAGAAAGCAAGAAAGAAATTCGGAAAATAAAACTGAGATTCTAATTTGCATCACAGCAGCAACTTTATAAACACTCAACTGGGCCAGAAACCTAAATCAGGCCCGAAAGAAAAAACTACTATCACAAGTCAGAAACTTCAACGAATTATTCGAGACTCAAGAAATCCGAATCAAATTCTTTATGCAACATGAAAGTTGTAGATCTTTTTCTTAGCTTTTCAACGACTGGTAGAACGCCTCGATCCAATTCTTGTAGCTCTAGTTATGAATTTTTTATTAAAAGCTGCTAATGTTGAAAAATAACAAACGAAAATTAAATAAAGCTGAAAATAAATTAAATTGTAAAAATATCATAAAATAGGAAATTAAACAAATTAAGCTATAGAAATGTCTAAGTCTAAACATAGAGGAAGGTGCATCAAAATGCACTGATCAAATTCCCCCACACTTGAACTTTTGCACTCCGAGCAAAGTATTGTCAAAACTCATGAAACACAAAAACATTCAGATACTCATTCTAGGCTGTGAACTCCTCTTTGGTCAAGATTGCATCAATATGTACTAATTTTGCACACTAAGGATATCGTAAGAACACAAACCCGCAATTGTGCGGTCATAAGGCTCCCACCTATACAAACCAATTCAAATCATGTCGTTATGCCTAACTCTAACTTACTCATCCTCCTTTTTGCTCTCTTTCATTCTAGTGCAATCACATTAAGCCCTTTATCTATCCACACACATGGTAACTGAACTTGTTAGTGACTATAATCCATATTTTTTCTCAACAACTCAGAATTAGACACTTTTTGCTTCTTTTTTTTCTTTCCCTTTTTTTCACTTTTTGTCTTTTTCTTTTTGTCTTTTTTTTATTAAGCACGCGATCACTCACTTATTTGCATCAGCTCAATTACTTAGCATGTGATTTCTAGATGGTGCTAACTGCTAGATAAACTACTTGAGAGCTATTAAAGGACGAGAACTCAAGACTATGCCATAACAAGTATCTAAATCGATTTCCATATTTGGGAGACTCAAGGTGTTAAAACGATACCGATCTTATGAATTGTTCCCAAGTTTCCACAATCTAACATCAAATTGATCAATAGCCCAAAAATTTCAAAAAATGCATTGTGTTTTTCTAAGTAAAAATATTTTTTTTTAAAATGAAAACAAAACTAAATAAAGAAAATTGAAAGAAATAAAACAAATTAAATGGTTCCTCCCCACACTTAAAGCATACATTGTCCTCAATGAAAGAATATAAATATAAAATAAGAGTGAGAGAAAGGAAGGAACACACCCGAGGAGTTAAGGTGGATAAGTGATCACATAGGCATCCTTTCCCAAAGAGAGATTTCTTGCAATCTCCTCTTCCAAAGTGGGGATCTCATACAGTAGCTTTGGGTAGCATCCATTGACCTTGAAATATTTATTAGTGTCTTCTCCTTTTATTCCAGGATCAAAGAAGAATCTTTGATAAATAAAAGTGTTGCATTGGCACGTAAATGTGATCGCTTTTTTCATAATATCAAGAATTATAGGATTAAAGGGTTGCCTCACTAATGTCCTTCTATCTTCCATCGAGGTTCATCCAATTCCCTTCTTATGTTTCTTCAAAACCTGCAAAAGTTTATTATCTTCATCAAAATCAAGGTTAGAAGAAATTATAACTGGAAGCTTTTTATCCATATCTAAATAAGCATAATTCAGATTGTTATGAAGTGGTTTAAGCTCCAAGGGGGGAGGTTGTTCAATGGATGGTAAGGTTGGGGCAGCCGTGATGTCAAGAGTTTCAGCTATATAAACAACTTCATCTGCATGAAAAATATTACCCTGCACGACATCATTAATCTCAGCACAAACAGAGCAAATGTTAGTGTCGGTACATGAATCATAAGAGTAAGTATCATCATAATCTAATAAAGATGGAAAATCAGATACCAACTAAGGATAAGTATCATCAACAAAATTAGATAGTAACTCTTTTGGATTCACTACAGTTTGGGTCGGTAGTTGGTTTGATTCCTGAGCTTCCTGCATGGCATTCACTATAGTGGCAAGCTGTCCAATTTGTGTTTGCAAGGCTAGAATGGAGGATTATGTCCGTTGTTGGAATTGGAGCTCATTTATAGTTATTTGCTTGACAAGGTCCTCTAATGAAGGTTCAGAAGGTGTAGAGCACACAATCTGGAATTCATTCATATGCTTATTCGGATCCTCACCTGCAAGTCCATTAAACCTTGGCAACAAGTGTATTAAACCAGATTCCAATTCGAAAGGTACAGTAACAACAGGATATTTTGTACATAAATCATTATGATTCATATCAGGAGCAGCAAGTTCTCTGAGAGTTCTTTGATCAGCCATGTTATCAAAAGGGAAAAAGAATTAACAATGAATTAGAAATCACAAAACTAATTCAGCAATACTGTGAATAATTTGAAAAATACCAACAATGTCCCTAATTAGAAAATGAATGGAAAAATAGAAAACCGAATAAAATAAAATCTAAAAATTATGAAAATATAACTAAAAATCAAATCAAATCAGAATGAATCAATAAAAAAAATCGGATTTTTTTGAAAATATGAAAATAGAAAATAAATCAAATAAAATAGAAAAATAATGAATTTGAGATTTTCAGGGTCAAAATCTTTTATAATTTTATTCTAAATGAGTATTGTTTAACGATTTTTTTTCCTAATTTTCTGAAAAAAATTTGGAGCAAATCGAAACAGTAGCTTCCAACTTGCCTGATATGCTGAAACGCTTACCCCTATACTGCAACCCTGAAAAATCAACAAGCAAACACAAAAAAAAAACAAAAATAAAACAAAAAGTTCTAACAAAACTCTAAAATTAAAATTCTAAAATTGGCTAAAATTAATAAGAATCCTCGACAACAGCGCCAATTTGATCCGCGGTCGCTCGCGGATCAAAATCGAGCCAATTGAAAAACGTAGTAAAAGCGACAGTAACTTGGATGTCGATTCACAAGGACTCTTATTTATAAAATAGCCAATTAAAGAAAAGGTTTGGGGGGGGGGGGTTGTTTTGATTAGGATTCGATAAAAAAAAGTAAACGGTAAAAATAATTGATTTTGAAAGAAGTGATTAAAAACAGGTAATTCCACCGGTTCGACTCCTAACTTATCATCGGTTACGATAATTCAATATTTTCACACGGTTTTAAATCCTATTCGATTGCAATATTGACGAACAAGCGTCGACAACACTGCACAACTTTTATTCCTAATTACCGAATTAAGCATATGGTTAAAGATTGCG